GTTGCACACACGCACACACATACACACACACATATATATATATATATATATATTGTATATAAATTTTATATATAATATATATGTTCTCGCATGGACAATATAATGTATATAAGATATATATATATATATAAGATATATATATATATATATATATATATATAAATCAATGGAACAAAGGTAAATGATCAACTGTGTTAATTATTCACTACGTTTTACAATTCCACAATTTGATAATAATGTCTCATCGGTTCTTAATCAACATGACATTCAAAAAATATTCAGTTTCCCAGATGAGGAAAAATACATGAACAAATTACTTGAATGGAGGTTGGGTCGCCAAAATGTAATAGGGCCACCATTATCAAAAAAATTTAAATTGCCAGAGCATTATATTATATATTATGCATCTACTTTAAACAAAGACAGATGGATAGATAGTCTACAACACCATATTCTGGAATCGACACGACCTCAAAATCATATATATTAGAAAAATGAGAAATTGAAGATACTACCATGTCCTGCGGTATGATCAAGTTACTTAATGTTAGGTAACTTGTACAGCAAAGATGTTTATCTAGCGTGCTGTGTTACATAGGCGATGGGTAGATAATAACACTAAAAGCAAATCATAACATTCAATCAAAATAACACACTGATTGTAAACGTGGCGCTCTTTGAAATTCTGTCACTGATATCTACTTACAATTTTAAAGGTGACATAACATTTTTAAAACGAAAATATTTTATATTTTAGTGTTTTGGTGGTTGTTTGTTCGATTTGCTATTAAAAGACGTTTTTTATTCAAGCTATTACTATAGGAGATGTTTTTTAAAGCGTTTTATTATCTTTTGTTATAATACGATGACTATTTTAATTATGTTGGTTAATAGCAAGTTAAAAGATATGATATCGCATTAATTAGCTTTAGTGGATGCTTATTCTTACATCAGGTTTTGTTAGATTGATCATATAATAACTATGGATTTTTTAACTACTATTGTTGTTACAATTCTAATGAATTGTGGTACAATAAGAAATCCAATATATAGAGGCAGTGATTTAATTTAGTTTTATGAATTGAATCTCCTTTATAAAATGCATGTAATACCATTATATTTCAAACAACTTATATTAATTAATAATGATTAAAATAATAATAGTAGTAAGAGTAATAATAAATACGCCAAATAATAATAATAATAATAATAATAATAACAACAATTGCTGAATGTTAATGGTGTAACTTTAGTAAGGCCTACATTCATTACTGCCATTGGATGCAACACATACGCCGCACGTTCCTTCTATTTTTATTTATTGTATGACAACAACAACTTTCTTACGTAATGTCATAAATGCAGTGGTAGGATCATGTTTTATGCTTTACAAAGCATGCGTCATGAACTTAGATAATTAGCATTCAGGTTCAGGTACAGGTTTTGATAGCAGTTGCATATCATTTTTCATAACATAAAAATATTTAGAAACCACTAATATGAGATGAGACAGCATTAGTCGGGAGCAACTAAAGCAAAGTTTTACTGTATTTGAAAACCGACTGTGCTTGACGAAAATCGACTGTGTTTTTTAACCGTTGTGCCTGTAAAATGAGACGAGTGTGCTTGAAAATCGACTGTGTTTGAAAGTTGCCTTTTTGGCGTTCCATATAAAACCGGATGTGGAAGTACGTACGTTTAATGTTGCTCTTTTGGCGATCCATATAAAACCACAAAATTAACTGACAGACACGGCTAGCGAATGCGAAAGTACGTACGTAAACATTACCATGTGGTCAAACACATCTAGATCCAATGAAAAACAACAGTAAAGGTCATTATTTTTATCTCAGTTTAAGCCGAAATATGGAATTATATTCACATCGTAAGATGCAGATTTCGATGATCTATAGGCCTAATGTTACAATTTTTCATACCTGTAGATATCGATTTTTGATTCCCTTGGTTTTGCATTCCATTCTGAGCCTTTGAAATAAGCGTAATTCCCGGTGTACTGCCCAATTCATCACCAGAAAGACCCCACTGGAAACAAGTCTTATCCTTGGTGTTGACACTAAGATACTCCTAGACTAAACCCATTACGTACTACTCCATAACTTTTGCTATGGGTAGGCCTAATTATATTATTCACAAGTGACCTGACTCACTGAGATGATGAAATTACACGACGACCCCGGTTACAGACATAATTTGTCGTGCCCATGTCATTTAACGTAGAACCCCTATGAAGGAGACACCTTCGATACCAAATGTCCCCTTAATAGGGGTGTCCCCTAAATAGTGTACCCTTAATCAAACACTAATCAAACACGTGAAATTGTCCCCTTGATAATATTTTTGTAGGAGCTTGTTGGCGCAGCGTTTGCGGCTCTGCTTCTCAGCCTTGAG